TGTTTCAAACACATCTGGACCGAAAGGGAAAACTTTTCCAAAAAAAGGAGTAATGTTCCCCTTTTACAGAAACTAGAAATAATTTGTCGCGGGCAAATTTGATATTTTTTTGTAATTCAAGATAAAGTTACTGGTTTACTCCTTGGCATAAAAAAGCAGGAGTGCATGTCCCTTTGTTACTCTCCTTCCAAGTCCAAAACCGTTTAGGATGTCGAAGGGACTCATCATTAATATTTTACATGTTTATAGCTCTAACCTCCTTAAATCTCAAGTCACAGGACGTGGGCAGGGAGAAAGGTGGGAAAGACTCGGGGCTGTGGTGGGGCAGTGGCTTCCGGGGCCAGGCTCTGACCCAGGTTCTGCCACCGGGAAGTCCTCCACGCCCTCATCCATAGGACAAAGAAGATGCGCCAAGACTTCTCCAGCGACTCGTCTGAGATCAGTCACTGCGAGGGTCTCGCCGCCTCGACACCGCAGCACCAGGACAGGCAGTCAAGCACCATGTCTAGGGAAATGTGTGCAAAACTTCCAAGTTCAAAGAGGCTACACAATAGAATAAACAGAGTCCAAGAGAAAGACTGAATGAACCCATCGATCGGGCTACTGACCCCAGGGTGGTGCTTTTCTGAAAGCCATCTCCAAGGTAGAGGGTATGAGAGGGAGAAAAGAACATATTTGGAGTAGGGAAGTCAGGGATAGAAGAAAATATTGGTCAGGAAACTCCCTACCTGCTTGATTCTAGTGATTATCGTTGAAATGCCCTACCTCCAGATTTTCAACATCTTTCAACAGTTTGAAACATCACCCATTTATGAAGACTTGAGGGTATTTCATAAAATAATGGAAAAAAGCAGACACCGTGAGATCAGTCTTTCTGTGGTTCCAGCCACGCTCCGTGGGCTGCGTGGGCTGCGTGACATCAGGTGTGCAACGCAACCTCTCTGTTTTAAAGTCCTTACCTGTAAAATGAGGATAATAATGGTTCCTACCTCACAGAACTACTGTGAGGATGAAAATAATGATGTACACAAGAAATACAGCACTGACTAATATAAATACTTGCTTAACGGTAGCTATTTTTATCGTTCACATTTAACAGGCAGAAGAATGTGTGTATAATTTGTGATGTCTGAAGATTCCTCTAAAATCTACAGTTCGGCGACCCTCTCATAGACATGCAGAGCCCGAGGGCCACTGCAGAGAGCAGGACAGGGCTAGAGACCCAGTTACAGGAGCCTGGAGGCCAGCGCAGGTAAAGGGGTGCACAGAACACAGCACAGAAGATGGCAGGTAGGTAACTGCGGTATCGCCTCCTCCCACAACCACATCAAAGTTACAACTAAACACAGAACAACCATCCTTCAGAACCGCCTGACACCCAGCTGAATGGAAGTCCTACAACTACAAGATCAAAGCAGCCGCCACATCGAGACTGGTAGGAGGGCAGAGGGGGATGGGCTGGTCCCACACCCACATGTGGCGGATAAAAATCAGGAGGACACCTCGGCTGGGATGGTCCTTCCTGAGGACTGAGGGGTCCCCGTCCCACACCAGGCACCCAGCTCAGGGTCCCAGTGCCAGGAAGAGACTCCCCATCACTTCTGGCTGAAAAACCAGCAGGAACTGAGGCTCAGGGAGGCTGAGGCGGCTGGAGCCCCAGGCAGCTCCTTTTAAAGGGCCCGCGCACGAACTTACTCAGACTCGCCCACCCAACTTTCAGGCCCACCCAAGCTGTTGACAGTTGCTTTACCATAGGATTGGCCTGCCTTGGATCCTGCTTCAGGTTTTCCTGAATTCTTTCAAACAAGCAGCATCTGGTCTCAGCTAGCTCCATACCTCTTAAGTAATACATAGAAACAAACACAGGAAGGCAACCAAAATGAGGAGACAAAGAAACAGGTCCCAAATGAAAGAACAGAACAAAAGCCCAGGAAAAGAACTAAGCAAAATGAGATAAGCAACCTAACAGATGCTGAGTTCAAAACACTGCTTATAATGATGCTCAATGAACTTAGTGAGAACCTCAGTGAACTTAGTGAGGGCCTCAAGAGCATAAAAAAGGACCAGTCAGAAATAAAGGAGGCACTAACTGAAATAAAAAATAATTTACACAGATTCAATAGTAGAGTACTTAAAGCCAAGAAGCAAACCATCGATTTGGAATATAAGGAAGCAAAAAACACCCAATCAGAACAGCAAAAAGAAAAAGAATCCAAAAAAACTGTGGATCGTGTAAGGAGCCTCTAGGACAACTTCAAGCGTGCCAACATTCGCATCTTGGGGGTGCCAGAAGGAGAAGAGAGAGAACAAGAAATCGAAAACCTATTTGAAAGAATAATGGCAGAAAACTTCCCTAACTTGGTGAAGGAAACAGACATACAAGTCTAGGAAGCACAGAGAGTCCCAAACAAGATGAACCCCAAGAGGCCCACACCAAGACACAGCATCATCAAAATGCAAAAGGTTCAAGACAAAGAGAGAATCTTAAAAGCAGCAAGAGAAAAGCAGTTAGTTACCTACAAGGGAGCCCCCATAAGACTGTCAGCTGATTTCTCAAAAGAAACTTTGCAGGCCAGAAGGGAGTGGCAAGAAATATTCAGTGATAAAAAGCAAGAACCTACAACCAAGGTTACTCTATCCTACAAAGCTGTCATTTAGAATCGATGGCCATATAAAGAGTTTCCCAGACAAGAAAAAGTTAAAGGAGTTCATCACCACCAAACCATTATTATATGAAATGTTGAACAGTCTTTTTGAAGAAAAAGAGCAAAAAAATGAACAAACAAAATGGCAATGAATACATATCTATTGACAATTGAATCTACAAACAAAATGAACAGGCAGAACAGAAGCATTCTTGTAGATACAGAGAACATTTTGTTGGTTGCCAGATGGGAGAGGGGTTGGGGGATTGGGTGAAAAAGGTGAAGGGATTAAGAAGTACAAATTGGTTGCTAGACTGACAAACCTCAAAGGGAAGGGGGTTGAGGGGTGGGAAGAAATAAACCAAAGAATCTATATGCATATATGCATAACCAATGGACACAGACAACAGTGGGGAAAGGCAGGGGGGGGGCGGGAGTGGGGAGGAGGGAGTCAATGGGGGGAAAATGAGGAACATCTGTAATACATTCAACAATAAAGAGAGGTTAAAAAAAAGCAACACACAGCACAGAGGAGGAGCTGGAGGTCCCAGATATTCACTCTACTCAGGATGATCCAAGGTAACAAGTCATATGCACTCTTCATATCAGAAAACGCCCAATCCACTCATCATTCCCAATTCCAAATCAGTTCCTACTTTCAAGCACACAGTTCTTACAATTCGACCTACGGGCACGTGAACCTTCTACCGTGAGTCCGCTGAGGGCGAGGCCGGCAGCGACCTGTCATCTGGGTGGCTGTTTTGCTTCTATTCCCTAAACTGAAATGACACATTAATGTCGTCTGGATCCTTCTAATTAAGCTCTGTCTGACAAAAGTTCTACAGCTGTGCTGTTCAACACAGTAGTCAGGAGCCATGTGTGGCTACTGGAGAGAAACCAAATGTGTACTTTATTTCATTTTCATTCATTTAAATGTTAAAAGTCGCATGTGGCCAGTAGCGCTGTATGGAAGGGATCTGACGGAAGAATGGCCGTAACGGGAAAAAGTGCTGGGACAGCTGGGACGTGTGTTCAGGACAAGGACAGCCCTGAATTCTGTCTGCAGGCTCGGAGAGAGTCTGATCTGTTCCCTTCCACCAAATGAGAACCTCTCTTTCCAACGTCTACAGGGACTCTCAGACACTTGAGGGTCGTTCTCTGCTCTTGGAAGAAATAAGATTGGCCGAAAAGAACCAGACTATAAAAGGGGAAGAGAGTAACTTTACCCTGAATAATACATGATGCCCTTGGTACTTAGAGAAGAAATACTGTGTCAAGTCAAGAGTGTTGAACTATCAATCACTTCAAGCTATGTTTAGGCCTTCCGTCAGCTATGTTACAGATGTGTGCCATGGACAGGCCATTAAAATGATCCAATAAATAATAAAAAACCATCGCACAGGGAGAGTAAACCACACCGTCCATTTTAAATGAAGAAAATATACTAAAACCCCTGCAAAGAAACCACCATGCCTGGGCGGAAGTACGACCTACCCCAGGACTTTGAAAATAACACGCTTCCCTTTCTAAGAGAGAAATAGGCTGTGATGTCTGACTGTTCCAAAGCCCACTGTATGCAGGAATCAAAGAATGTTACATACAGCACCCTCATGAGAAAATTCAAGAACATACAGTCTCCTTTCCAGATCCCAAGATGAGTCCCTATAAATCCTTCCCAAGGGAAAACTCTCGAGCTACCACGAAGATGTAGTTCCAAGGTGATCCTCAGGCCCTTGAGTTAAGCTTCATTTTGAAGTCTCCTTTGGGGTTCAAATGTGGACAACCCACATGGTGGGGTTTTAGTATAAGCACCTTTTTGTGCCCCGGAGATTTAACCCCGGGAAAGCTCTAGAATTCTTCAAGCCTCTGCCAAATTCTGTGATGTCCAAGTGAGAGCCAGGCAGGCCCTTCATTCAACTGCTCAGAATAGAACCATTCAAGCTATTACGTGAGCTCTTCTCCGTCTTCCTTCAAGAATCCACACTATCTAACACAGTGAGAACGAACTGCTCCTGATACAAGTAACTATTTCCCTGGGGCTCCATCTACAAAAATTCACGTTGGGATTTCACCCCAAAAGATCTACTTTACCCACGTGCCAGGGACTCTATGAGCTGGTCCGTCACTGCCTGTTTCCCAGAGACAGGTCCCGGGGAGGCTCCAGCAACCGGAAAGCTACTATCGCAGCAAAATGTCAACTGTCGTGTATTTAAACCGAATCCTTCCATATCCCAAACGGAAGTTTTCATTGTTTGTCCTCCAAAGGACAGATGCACTGTTTGTTGTCCTTCTTCTTGAATCAATAACGATACAACATCAAGTTGAAAATTCACATCAGACGGCCTCCACCCTTACCTCCACCACTGTGGTGTCCGCAGCCTTGCACATGGGCAGGTTGAAATTCCGCGCACTTTTCCTACACCAGGGGTGGGGGGAACGAGGAAATGGGGAAAGAAGACCAAAAATCAGAAGTGTCTGCTTCAGCTTTGATTATAGACTAAAAAAATTGCTATAAACTATGAATCTGTGAATCTTTTCAGAAAAAAATAGACCATGTCTTCTGTTAATAAAGTTTTCTTTTTTTTAACATTTACTGATTTATTTCTCCAATTACAGTTTACTTTCTATTAAAGTTTTATCATTATTTTATAAATAAACACAATATGATGCCCACTTCATTCAATTATATAGCGTTTTTTATAGGGTTAAGGAAAAGGGGCTATTTTTCATGGTCAACGTACAGATTTTCCCACAGAAAAATAAAATGGATATTAATTAACCGATCTATTTAAAACTGATTTCCCTGAATCTGTTAACTGGGATGCAACTCTGTTTCTAGTGAAGTATTTCACAGGACTTGCTCCTGTTAAAATATTAAGGAAAAGTTGCAAGTACTTCATATGAGAGGGTGCAGTCATTACATCCTCTATTCAAGAGCAGCCTGCTGCTGAAGTTAAAGGAAACGTTCACGGGGAACGTGTGAGTCACCTGGAAAGATCGTTCTGAGAACCAGCTTCTAATGAAGGTTCTGAAAGCACACCACCGCCATCGGACACTGCGGCACAAAACTTTCAAGAGGGTGCCATCTTCGCTGATGGGTTTGCCTTCCCCGGTTCTAAAATTAACGCACTTCTTCTAACCATAAAATGTTAAAGATCTTTTTGTTTCTGAGAGTGTAAGTTGATAGAAAGACTTCCTTGGTGAAGGGAAATAAGTCACAGCTATGTTTTACGAGCGCTTTCAGGCCCCTGATGTTTATTTCACCTGGATTCGGGGCCAGGTGCAAGGACAGGTGTGTCCTTCACAAGTTGCTCTGTCGGATTCCACCGAGCTCCAGTGTCAAAAGCTCCGCTGGCCACGGCCGGCCTCTGTACCAGCCGTCTGCTCTCTAGAAGGCAGTGTCTCCGGAGCCTAAGTCACCTGACCATGGGTGACGTGCTCTCTTGTCACATCAAAGCTTAATGTTTATCTGAACCACAGGCATCAAGTCTGCGCCCCGAAGAGCCCTTGTGCATCTTTAGATTCGGAGCCAGGCAACGGAGCTCGGGGTAAATTCGTGGAAATACTTTAAATAATTCATTTCCATTTGCTACTATACAATTTCATGACTCTTTTTTTTTTAAATAGCAACTGCACTTTGCAAACATGACACCCAAGTGTCAAGTATGGTACATGATGCAAAATGTCTCTATAATGGCCAAAATCAGTTGTAATTCTAAAAGATGGCTGAATTCAAGATATCAACTGTAGTACTAACATTATAAGTTCTTCAGAAATGAACAAAAACAGCATGAAAATTAATTGTGATTGCACAAAAGTTGCATTTGTAAAGATAAAAAAAGTGCTCACTGAACATGGTAAATGACAATATTATAAGAAAAGAAAATATTTCTGTAGCCTAACAGGTGAAGGTTTTAACAGCAAACATTTTGAAAAACTGTTTTTTTTTAAAAAACTTTGTGTGTATATTGAAAGGTGGCATAATTGAAAAAAAAATAACCACCATATAATCTATAAATCCAAACTATTAAATACTTGATTAGGATAATCAAAAAGATCTTAAAATCCACTAAGCATATCTTTGGCCATCCAGTTAGTGAAAATGAGAGGTCAGCATTAAGGTTGAACAACTTTTCAGACAAGACCTTTATAAGCATTTCCTAGTAGATACCAATAGAACCGGGAAAGACTTAATATCAGGAAGTATTAGCAACATCTTTCCAGAATATCAAAGTAACTTAGGCATTGTAAGACAATGCAGGGAATGACAATACCAAAAGTAAATATAACTGTGTGCTCTTCTCGTGTTTCCTACGCATGTCAATATTGTGACTGGTCTCGGTGACTAAAATACAGAGGAAAACATAATCTGTATGTGACTAAATGCAAGGGTATATAGATTCAAACAGTAAACAAGCAGAGTAATGTGGACATCAACCAATCAGAACAGACACCCTCTCACAAGTACTCCAGACCACAGACACACACACACATGCACACGTTGGTGTGTCTGATTTTAAGTCATTTTTAAAGAAAAATTTAAATACCAAACACATCAAGAGATCCATTTTGTCATCAAAAATTTAGGAAATAAAAAGTTGCTGAAATGCATTACATTCCCATTTTGAAAAACCACCACACTACCTGAAAATTATGTTTCCTGCACGGTCTGCCTTCCAGGCTTTCACCAGGGCGAAATCCCCTGTGATCGCTTCCTCCAAGATAAAATGTTGACCTTTGAACTCTCTCACCTGCAGGAGACAAAGAGGGCACTGTCAGGTATTTGCTTGGCTTCTGTTTGGTTGGTTTGGCTGTGATAAGTGCTCTGACGAAGAGGTAAGAGGACACAAGCTTAGTTGGGAAAGGCTTCTCAGAGAGAAGACTCCTACGCAGACGTCAAGGATGAGGGTGGTAGGCAACTGGGACTTAGTGAAAGTACTGGAAGGGGGAACAGCATGTGCAAAGGCTCCGCAACAAGCGACACCTTGGTCAGTCTGAGGAACTGAGGGGTAGACTGTGTAAGTCAGTATTCACGTTATTACCTGTGTGCATAGGTTACGCATTGAACATGAAAACAGACCTTTCCCTTTACCTCAAGAAAAACTATACAATTTTCATGAAGGGGCCAATGTGTTGTTTTATACGTGAAATAGTCATAAAAGTCCATCATCTCTCCTAATTCACCTACAATCACCTGAGATTCTCATGGGAATTCCTAGAATTTGTAGAGGAATTTGTAGAGAGCTGACATGCCATATCACCCCACCCATATGCATAATCTTGTCCAAAGTCTTCTTTTACCTCTTTCAATAGTTTTACAAGTTTCACCCCAAAAGCTTTGTATAGATCTGTTAACTTTAGTCATAGGACTTCACGTTTTCTGATGCAACTATGAATGTTATATTTTATCCTATTACACCTTCTCTTCTGTCATCACTGGTCTAATGGAATGCTACTGATTTGTGTATGTTTATTACCTTTTGTTCTACTAGGAATGGAGGGGGCGGGGTAGAGAAGAGAAGCCTAAAGCAAAACCATGCCAGGGCACTGGGAACAATGTCAAAGCTGAACTCCATCCATCACTACACAGGATGGGAGCCACTTAAAGGCAGAACACCATTCCCATTCCCACAGCACCCCCTAGTGGACACACTGCATACATTTTATAGAACGCTTCAGCAGAAAGTTTGAGTACCTTAACTTCTTTAACTATGATTTAAAACTGAAATTCTTTCTTAAACAACAGCTTCCTCAGAGACATTATCCCACCTTCCTGCCAGAAAAGATTAATGAATTTACAAAATCAGTAAGGAATGAGGATCTTATTCCATATGAACTTAAATTATATAAAAGATATTCATAAGTTGCACATCAATATATAGTTTTTTTTAGGATCTTATGTATTTGAGAGTCATTACTGTAAACATCCATGATAATGTTTACATATGAAGTATTTTACATACAGACCCAGGAAACTACATATAGATCTAAATATATGCTAACCCAGCGGAAAGTAAAAAGAAAAAAAAAGAGAGAGAGAGAGCTTTTTGAAATTCTAATTATATAACTTCCCAATGGATCCACACTAGCAGTTGGTGAGTTTTAGCTATTTGTCTAAAATTTAATAAAAGGGAAGAAACTGGTTTTGTGCAACTAGCTACTATACTCATCAGAAAGAGTTGTACATTTCCTGGTCTCGACCTCATCTTTCTTTTAGTTCTTCCTTGAATCCACTCCAATCAAATTTTCACCACTCCAGAAAATTCCTCTACTCTAGAAAAATCACTCTGCAGAGTCACCAATGACCTCTATATTTCCACATCCGGTGGTCACTTCCCAGTACCCTATTACCCAGCTTCTGCACACTCCTTGACACATTTGATCACGCCCTGCTTTGCAGAATTCCCCGTCTTTCAAATCACCAGACTTCCCAGGGTTTCCGCTTCGCTCACTAGACACTTTCCCATTCTTCTTTCCTGCTCTTCAAGCCTCCTCCCTACCTTTAAATGCACAATAGTCCAGCCCTAGCCACTCATCTGCTCCCGCAGACTTACGTACTATACCAATGCCTCTGAGTTCTCACCCCAGCTCTAAACCCTCCCCGGGCGGGAGCCTACTGAGCACCTCCTCCTGGAGACTGATGGGCGTCTTAATGCACCAGGGCTCTGACGAGCTGTCTGACTACCCCCACGCTTGGCCCATCTCAATAAGCAGCATACTTGATTCTTGTCTTTTCTTAAACCCACCGCCAATCCATCAGTAAATCCTATTGGCTTTGCTATCAATATATATCCCTATTCCAACCGCTTCTCAGAAATCCCACTGGTACCACTCTGCGTTCCCCCTTGGATTAATACAACAGCCTCTTAATCTCTTTCACTACTGCAGAAAAAAAACACTAAACTAAAAAAACAGCTACACCTGGCCAAAATTTAACTCGGATCACATCACTTCCATCAACTTTCTGTTGGCCGCTCACCACACTCAGTAAAATCCAAACTCATGCGATCTGGCTCCTCCTGCCTCTTTTCCCTCCAGTCCACCTGCTCTCCGCCTCACTCACTCTGTTCCAGTCTCCTATCCCTGCTGTTCCACACACAGGGCAAGCCCACCTCAGGACCTGCCCTCCTTCTGCCTTCTGACTAGATCACAGCCCTGTGATCGTTGCCCAGCTCATTCTCCTACTTTGTTCAGGCCTCTGCCAAATGTCAGCTCCACGGTGAGGTTTGCCCTGACCCAGCCCGAAACACCGCCTCCCTGGCCACTGGTCAGTCTCTCTGCCCTGACCCTACTTGATTTTTCCTTCCCAGCATTTTCAGAATTGACATGTATGTTTGTCTATTCATTCCCCTGTCAGTTCCTCCATGACAGGGGGGCTTGGTCTAGACCACCCTTTTCCACTATACTTAGACCGGGTCCCAGGAAAGAGTAGACCTCAATAAACGTTGAATTCAGGAATTCACTCACTTCCTCTTCTTGCAATAAGCAAGGGAAAGAAAGAGCTAACAGGAGTTGTTTCAATCCTACTAGACTCATGCACCTGACTCCAAGCAGAAGTGAACCCGGATATTCAGGACAGTCTAGTGTACCCTATGTCTTCCAGGTGAGTTAATGCTGCGAAGCTCCCAAAGTAGTAACCCAATTCCTCTGGACATCCTTTCTACACTACTAGGATCCTTTTTAATAATTAGACTCCTGTCTTCTACTTTGTCAAGAACTTTTTAAACTTAATTAGGCAGTAAAGAAAGAAGCAAGACAGAATATTAAAAAACGATCATAAAAGCTGAGACAACTCAGGTCACCTTGAGCAGAAAGGCAAAGCCTCAGGTGAAGGCCACTACTCAGAGACCACACCGGACAGCAGGCCACCTGCTCGATGACCTTGTATCTCCCCTCAGAAGGCGGTGCAGAGCTAACATCTCCGTGAGCAGAAAGGTGGTATCACCCCTTGATTCTAAGTGTTCACCTCCCTAGAGATAAGCTGAGCCTCTCCGCCACCTGGGTTAACCGTCCTGAGCCATGTGGGCAGGGACAAGAGAAAGAGTCTAAAAACACAGTCATGAAAGATTGGCCTGTGTAAGTTTAAAGGTGACGCTCAAAGCCAAGTTATCTCATATATCTAGAGTTCTCTTCTTTTCTAATACGTGAGTGAAGCTACCTAGCATCCAGGCACCCCAGCCTCTCCAGCACTATTTATCTTTATCGTTGAAGGTATTACAGATGCGCCTTCTTTTCTCCCCGACTGAAACCGTCCTCCGCTCTGCACCCCCTCCCGCCTTCACAGCACTGCTTCTCCAGCGCTGTAAATAAACCGGTTACTCAGTGTCCAGCTCGAGTGTGTCCAGCATGCGAATGAAGGAGATCATGTGACCTCCCCGTGATTTCCTGGCTTTTTCCATCCTTCAATCACAGAAGAGGCCGAGGATGAAGAATTGAACATCACACACATCAGGCAGCTACTCCATTTCCCACATAAGCATAATCACCAATTACACAGGCTCCCGCATTGGTAAAAATCTACCCCCCAAATTAGTTCAGACAACTAATCTTAACTCACACATCTTATACAGTAACAGGTCTTCTCCTTACATGTCCTGGATTCTCCATGGGATTTGAATTACCAGCAGATGCTCCGTTTAGCTGGAGATCATACCTAACATACTTATATGAAAAAGAGCAGGGTTTGTGCCCCCACAGAGGTGACTTTATACGTATTTACCCAGTGAGCCGCCAGAACGCCGCGCGACAGCGTGTCCAGCTCACCTGGACGGCAGTGTTCTCACCTCTCTCGGCTGGCTGGCGATGGCGATGCTGCCGTCCTTGTTGTATTTGATCGGCGACCCTCCTTCTTGCACCAGGGTCCCGTACCCGGTGCTGGTGTAAAACGCAGGAACTCCGGCGCCGCCTGCACGGATCCTCTCTGCTAGTGTGCCCTGCAGGAGCAAGCGACACCCCGCAGGAGGTCAGTCAGCACCGCCGCCCCAGGACACGGAGCGTCACACACGTGCCCGCCCTCTGGAGGTTGACCATCCTCAGCGGCACCTAGCAGGGCACCTCCCTGTGCCAATCCACAGCATGTGACTGCGTATCCACAGGGCCACGCTTTCGGTCTCCTGCTGGCTTCTCGGCAACATACTCTACATCAGTCTATCTGTACTATTTGTGCTATTTTTTATAAGACATTCATTTTTTTTCTTTACTGATTTTTAGAGAGAGAAGGAAACATCAACTGGCCGCCTCCTGCACGCCCCCCACGGGGGATCGGGCCCACAACCTGGGCATGTGCCCTGACTGGGAATCGAACCGGCGACCTCTTGGTGCAGGGGTCGACGCTCAACCACTGAGCCACACTGGCTGGGCTATTTGTACTATTTTTTTTTAAATGAGTTTTCAAATCTGAAGCATGTAACTTCAACAACAGCCATTTAAAAACATAAAATTCGATTGTGTTTTACTGTGTGCTGCAGGTTGGGAGGGCCTGAGTCTTATCATCAGTAACCACAAGTGATTATTACAGAATAATAGTACAAAATGTTCAAATGTATTTAGAATTTACTCTAAACCATCCTCAGGAAAAATCCAAAGTACAACATGCTGGTAAACTGGTTTTTAAAACCCAGGAGTGCTTCCAATTGTGTCTGAGTGGACACAGCTGCAGACGGTGTCCTTGTACCTTCTGCTGATCGCCTCACCACTCCTGGGCCCTAAGGTCAGACCTAACCGCAGCCCTCTCCCACTCCACCGCCTTTCCACCCGTCGCCCAGAGGGCGATCCACTGGCCCAGGACACTCCCTGGCCCCTCCCCGCCGCCGTTGTGACCCACCTGCGACTCGTGGTCACACTGGATAGCTAAGTGGCTAATCAGCAGTAAGAATGAGGTTAGGTATTAATGACAGGGTGTTAATATTGTCCCAACCTGAAAACAATTTCCTACTTTAACTGGGGCCTAAACTCAAAGAACCGACTAATGATTAGCATTTCAAACACAGAGCCGGTCAAGCATGTGGGGTGGACATTCTGGGGCGGGAGGGCCCTGCGGCTGAACTGAAGACTCCACAGGTGAATCCTTCTCTCCGCTCTCCAGTGGACCAAGATGACTACTCTGTGTTCTGGGTATTTTAAGTAATCAACAGTCACAAAAATTCAATCCTCAAACAACCACAATATCAGCCCTAGTTTAAAATGTGTTTTATGTCCACCCACCCTGAATACTTCGCTCCTTCGCTGTGTCCAACTGGGCAAGGGCCTGACAACACACTATTTCTGCAGACAGACAGGACGTCTGCGGTACTCCAAGGCCCACCAAGCCCGCACCTTCAAGCCCAAAGGGAGTCCTGGGCCCCTAACACTTCTTCGAACCTCCTTCCTGACTCTCAGGCCACAAAACAAGTGGCCAGATCCAGTGTTTATTCATGTGCCGCTGCACTGGGGAGGGGGATCCTGATCTCTTTCAGCTTAAAGATATAAAAGAAATAATAGGGAAGTTCCTCTCCCATGCATCCGCCCTCTGGCAAAATGAGGAGGAATGCCAAAGATATAAAAAGTTCATTTCAATAGCTCCAAAACATAAACGATAAAGTATTTCAACCTATAATGTGAAAGGGAAATGTATATGCTATGCATTGAATTATGTCCCCCCCACAAATTCATATATTAAAGTTCTAACCCCAATTAATGACTGTACCTTGGAGCTAAGGCCTTTATGGAAGTCATTAATGTTAAATGAGGTCGTAAAGGTAGGGCCCTGATCCAATATTGGATTAGTGGTCCCTTTTTTTTTTTTTTAATTGTTTTTATTGATTTGAGAGAGAGAGAGGAAGGGAGAAGGAGAGAAACATTGATCAGCTGAAACCTGCACACCCCCTACTGGGGTCGGAGCCTGGAACCCAACCAGAGAACTCTTGGTGCAGGGGACAACGCTCAACCACTGAGCCACACTGGCCAGGGCAGGATTAGTGTTCTTATAAGAAGAGAACCCAAAACAAAGAGCAAACAAACAAAAATAAGCAAAAGGACAAAGAATTGCTTGCTTTGTGATGACATGTCCCTGGAGACCTGGGCTCTGGTCCCAGCACTGACCCTGAAGGATGTCCCTCTCCTGGTAAGTCTCAGCAAGACCAGATCCCACACTAATTACTAATTCTATCATTCCTGTGAACTGACTTTTAGGATGAGCCTCACACATTTCAGCCAGTCCTTTTGCATGCTTCCAGCGTAATTTACATTATAATGCCAACTTTAAAATATATCCTGTAGCCTAGAGATTGTTGTTAGAAATACCTCTTTCTGTTGCATAGCAACAGCAAATATTAGACTCCAGCCACCAACAGGTGTGACCTACAAAATAGGATTCTCTCTGCTTTCTTGCACAAAGACATTTCTGGGGAGAAAAAGATACATGTTAAAATATGTTAGTATTGTAGAAGAAAAGCCGAGAATTTTCTTACCTGAGGTGTCAACTCTACTTCTAATTCACCAGATAAGTACTGTCGTTCAAATTCCGCGTTTTCTCCCACGTACGAGGCGATCATGCGCTTTATCTGCTTGGTTCGCAGTAAAAGGCCCAGGCCAAAGTTGTCGACCCTAGAAAGCGGATGCAACCAGCTTACAACCGAAGGGACAGCTGCCAGAGCACTACTATCACTTACATCCAAAAACATAACATTGTAGCCCTGGCCGGTTTGGCTCAGTGGTTAGGAGCATCAGCCCGCAGACCAAAGAGTCAGGGGTTCAATTCCGGTCAAGGGCACGTGCCTCGGTTGCAGTTTGGTCCTCAACCTTGACTGGAGTCATGTGGGAGGCAACCAATTGATGTGTCTCTCTCGCATCGATGTTTCTCTCTCTCTCTCTCCCTCTCTATCTGAAGATAAGTGAAAAAATATCCTCGGGTAAGGATTAACAAACAACAACATAAAATTGTAATACTTTAAAGCAATCCTATCTACTAGGCATTTAACCCACCTTCCCTCTCATCGCTACCACCTGAAGAGCTCTTCCAGGGGGCTATTCTTTCTTATTTTACAGCTGAGGAAACTGAAGCTCAAAATGCTTAGGTGATTTTTCCCAAGACCTGGGGTCATAACACAGCCGGTACTCAAACCCACATCAGTCCTGCAGTCCGACCCCAACCCTTTGGTCCTTTCCGCTGCTCCAAAGTGATCCTGGGTCAGAAGATGAGCACAGAGTCGGGCTGGTCCTTGCCCCACGCTTCAGGGGCATACGTAAACGCCATGGCAATGCCACTGTCCCTAACCCACGATAGCCCAAAGGAAGGTTTGGGGGGAGAAGCTCTTTCTGTCCGAGAAAGGGGTCAGGAGCATTCTCATATTTAAAAGACAGAGCAGCAGACTCTTAAAATACGGACCCAATTATGAATAACAGGAACATTTTCCCTCTGTCACAGATACAGAATAAAGAGATGGTCAAGGACAAAGGCAAACCTGTCACTGCAGCAGAGGGAGAGAGGTGCTACGAGGGGCCTGCTGAAGTTCGATGAGAACACGCGAGATCAGGGACCCAACACTTAGGACAAAGAGGGTGACATCAACAGACTTGTAAGAGAAGGGGGGACTTTGAGAGCAGAGTGGAGGTGATGAGGGGAAGAGACAGATGGGCAGCTCTGACAAGGTGTACGATGCACTCAGGAGACCCCGTGCTGAGCGGGGCAGGAAGGGCTGTGATCCACCCTGAAGCCACACCGAGAAGTGAGGATTCGTCCCGAAGATGTGGAGGCCCTGTCGATAGTTTTAAGCAGGAAATACCAGGGTAAACAATTCCCTGGAGGTCCCGAGAGGAAAGGCCTGGACTAGTCCTGACGAGCAGTGACGGTCTCACCGACTGCGGCAGCAACAGGAAGGGAGCAGCAGGGACAGCCCAGGGGATGTTTGGGGGAAATCGCTCCTAAGACTCACTGCCCATCCTGATGCAGATGAAAACCCACCCCGGAACTCTGGCCCTGGCAGTGGGAAATGGTGGGAGGATGTAAGTCGAATGATCACTTGTGATGTCTACTTGTTTGAACGGAAAGGCGGTGACATGGCCTCCGTATGACAAACCACGGGCCTCTCTCCTGACCTCTCCCACCTTCACCCCACCCCCCATCCTCACACACGTGGCCATTCCTGCCCAACGGACCCGTTCCTCAGAATGCATCATCTCCAAGCCCCTAATCTACCCCAGACAGTCCTACACCCGAATACTTCCAAGTAATCCCGCTAATAGGTCACTGCTAACCTTCTTCTAAATTTGATTCCTAGTCCCAGCTTTCCAATGCTGAATCTAATAAACCTCTCCACAGGTATAAAAAATAGCCACATGACTTATTCTTACTTGTTTCAAAAAAACTAGAGCTTAAACAACAAGTATTTTCAAGGGTACTTTTGTCGTTTGGGGAGGATTCCCTGAAGATTATAATACACTTGTCCACTAGAGGGCTCCAAGCACTAAAGATTCTGGGGTCTCTTGAACAATTAGTTCTTCCCCACACTCTCTCTCCAACATGTGCCTTTTCTTGTTTTTACCTATTCCTAATTAACACCTGAGTAGGCCCTCGGTTCTCCAGGTTAACAATTCTGTTCTGCTAAATTCAGCTCCACCTGCAGCCGGCCCTTCTCACCTGATGGCAGCCCCATCCTTAGAGATCTTCAGCACAAACTAAGGAGGGTGATCCTGACTTTCACACACTATCGGGACTTCCTGGCTCTCCCTTCAAAGTCCACCCAGAACCCGAGCCTTTCCCTCTCCCTCCTCAGTGACCTACACCACCTCTTACCCAGACACTGCAGCAACCTTCCCGGAGGCTACTCCTGGCCCCTATGATCTACTCACAAGACCACGGCCAAAAATACAGGTATAACATAAATACAGGTATAACATAAATGCCGGGTCCTATCACTGCTCTGCGCAAACCTGCGATGGTGTTCACTTGCTCAGAGTAAAAGCTCAGAGTAAAAGCCTCTGGGGCAGCCCGCCAGGCCCCGTGTGAGGGATGCCGGGTCATGTCTCCGACCTCTTTCCACCTGGTCCTTTTTGCTGCACTTATGCTGGCTTCTGGGTAGTCCGTCACTCATCCTGCCTGGGTCCCTCACACTGGCCTGTCCCCAAACTCCAACCCCACATAGCTGCATGGCTCACCCCCTCCTTCCTTCAAGTCTGTGCCACTGCCCCTCCTGAGTCCCATCCTGATCACCCACCTGGGACGGGGCCTGCCCTCCACCTTCACGCTCCAACACCCTGGCTCTTTTTCTCTTTTGCAGAGTGCTGTCACCTTCTAACATACTGGAAGTTTACTTCTTCTGTTCCATTTACTACTTATTGTCCGCCTCTCCCCCTGGAATGCCAGGTGCAGAGGCAGAGAACCTGCCCCCGTGTTCACCGTGGCACCCACGCGCGGGCAGCACGCGGAGGGCACTGGGCGGACCTCCGCTGACACGCAAATGAGTGTGCTGCTCCATCTCACTGCCCCTCCTCACTGGCTCCTTTCTAATGAACGTGGAAACCTTCGCGTCCTCCCACCGGGTGTTTTCTGCCTGCCGCTCTGCATGCACCGAGCCTGCCCTGTGCCTGGGACCCGCCTCTGCGGACTGAATCCTGGCCCCGCCTGCGGCTTCCGGCGGGGGTCAGCGCGTCTGAGGGGACCAGACCATGGGAGAGGCCATCCGGCGGATCAGGGGCACAAAGGGAATAATGTCAGGATGTGAATTCCCCAGGCTCTATGCTGCAGCAAACCGAACGGCCCTCTCTCTGGGCAGGAGTGGGGAGTCAGTTTCCTGACCAGGAGTATTTATAACATCATTTTCCAGGCCATACAAAATGATCAGCTGAAAAAGTAGCCTGCTATATTTGGTCCAGCTAATTTGGGGAGGCTGTGACGTTAGCTGGTATTGATTTCTCCGTCGGACATTCCTCCCCTGCTCTAGAGGTTTCTTCCAGGTCCCAACAGCTCCCTCTCCTCCTCCTCCCCCAAGCCCCGGGCTGCTGAGCCTCTGCTACCACTCCAGGCTGCTGCTCCGGTGCCCAGGCTGGGTCCCAGTCCCGACCACTCGTCCGCTGGTCAGCTTTCCTCTATGACGCGGTCAGAGAGCACCACTGATAGCCTCTGGAGGCCTATCCAAATCATGTCATAACAATAAAATAACCCGGGAAGGTGGATACAGTCCATTGGCTGTCTGTAGCATTAAATATCTAAACTCCCTCCAAGCATTCAGCTCCATACCATAAACCAGAATATACCGGGCTGGTCACTGACCTGGGGAGCTTTCTAACCACTTCTTCATGGGTCTGTTTGGCTTGTCAACACTACACACTTGAACTTGGCACTGTTTGAAGATGACCTCTTTGTATGTGTTGATCTTAGCCCTGGAAACCATGAGTATCTGTTTTCCTTTCTTTTTCCTTTACTTTGTTTCAGGTCTAGGGCCTGGCATGGCAACCAAGCAGTGCCTAAGTGCCCAGCCTAGGCCACTACCCACCTGGTACACAGTGTGTGTGCCTTGGAAAGTGCTGGTAGGTCCTAATAAGAGTGTCTTTCTTGCCTATGATGATACAAAAATGAAATAGGCAAGCCCTTACTCATAATATGAGAGAAGAGAGAGATATGAGATCTGCAAACAAGGAACATACTAATTTTCCTAGAGAAACACGGATTAAAGCACCTTGCAGCTTTGACAGCAGAGATAATTCCAATGAGCTCTCAGAGTGACCCTTGCTTGCCGTTCACAAACAGCATACCTCACAAAGGGAGAGTTAACCTTCCTCCTGCAGCACAAGCTCAGATTCCAAACATTTCCGTGGTTCAAGAAGTCTAAATAAATCCAGGAATTAATTAAAGAGACACATTAATGCAAAACAAAAAATATTTCATGGAAGAGATCAATGTTCTGCAAATATTTATGAAACTAATTTTCATGTTCTAAAATCTCATTGTTTATTCTTTTTTTCTTTTATCCTCACCCGAGGACATTTTTCCATTTTTTGTTCGGACAGAATGGGAGGGAGGGAGAGAGGGAGAGAGAGAGAGAGAAACATCAACATGAAAGGGACACATCGAGTGGCTGCCACCCACACAACCCAACCAGGGCTGGGGACAAACTGCAACCGAGGTACGTGCCTTTAGCGGGAACCAAACAGGGTCTCTCTGGACCACAGGCTAATGCTCTAACCACTGAACCAAACCGGCCCAGACTCATTACTTATTCTTGTCTAAATGAAACTCTAATGAGAAAAAAGTTGCTGCCCAGCCGGTGTGGCTCAGTTGGTTAAGCATCAGTCCCATGCACCAAAAGGTTGCTGGTTTGATGCCCGGTTAGGGCACATGCCCACATTGCAGGCTCGATGCCTAGCAGAGGGTGTACAGGAGGCAGCCGATCGATTCGACAATGTTTCTCTTTCACGTCAATGTTTCTCCCTCTCTTTCTCCCCCTCACTAAAAATTCAATTATAAAAAAGAAAAAGCCCTGGCCAATTTGGCTCAGCAGTTAGAGCACTGGCCCGTAAACCAATGAGTTGCGGGTTCAATTCCAGTCAAGGGCACGTACCTCAGTTGCGATTGGTCCCCGGCCTGGTTGGGGTCATATGGGAGGCAGCCACTCCATGTGTCCCTTTCACGTCAATGTTTCTCTCTCTCTCTCTCTCTCTCTCCCCCTCCCACTCTGAACAAAAATGGGAAAAAAAGTCCTCAGGTAATGATAAAAAATAAATATAAATAAATAAAGCCCTGGTTGGTTTGGTTCAGTGGTTAGAGCATTGGCCCGTGGACTAAAGGGTCACAGGTTTGATTCCCAGTTAAGGACGCATATCTTGGTTGCAAGTTCGATCCCCAGCCCTAGTTGGGGTAGTGCGGGAGGCAGCTAATCGATGTGTCTCTCTCACATCGATGTTTCCCTCTCTCTCTCTCCCCCTCTCTCCCTTCCACGCTACATAAAAATCAATGGAAAAATATCCTCGGGTGAGGATTAAGAAAAAGAATAAGGTTGCAACCTGGCTGGGTAGTTCAGTTGGTTAGAGCGTTGTCCAGATAATCCAAAGTTGCAGGTTCAATCCCAGGTCAGAGCACACACAAGAATCAACCAATGAATGCATCAATAAGTGGAACAACAAACTGATCTTTCTCTCTCTCTCCCTCTTTCTCTCTCAAATCAGTAAGTAAAAAAATTTTTTAAAGAATAAAGTTGCAACCATTTACCAAACTCCATTTCTTGTCTACACTCATTTTAGGCATACTTAAATCTCAATGACACAATTTACATTTACTCTGATAATATCAAGAGCATTAAAAGAAAGGAAAGTGCTGTGTTCAGATATAAGGCTAGTTTATGACAATTGCAGGGGGAAAGTGAGCTGAGCACTTGTGAGCTGAGCACACAAGTTCAAGTCCATACTCCAGGAAGTGGCAGCCCCTCCCAGACAATCACCAAACCTTGGGGAATGCTTACCTCAGCCAAGGTGGCCCAGAGCCCCCACGGAGCCCTTCAGCCCTCCAGAGGTGCAGCCACCGCAACCAAGAAGAATGGGGACGCAAAGGAGCTGCCTGTCTTTACCTCCTGATTCAAATTCAGCAGCGCAGAGCCAGACATGCCAGAGGGGCCCTCGCAGAATCCCCACGCCTGCCTAGGGCAGGACTGTGCCGGTGACAGTACTGTCATCACAAGCACAGGTTCATCTAATTACCAGGTAGCACCAATGAGTCTCTCCCATGTGAGTGGGGTGCCCTTGGAGGTGCCTACATTCCCACACTCGAGAAGAGTTATCTACAACCCTGTCCCAAGGAAGCAGGCATGACTAATATGACACACCCATTCTTTCCCTGGCTCTGGGATGTCATTGGTTGAGACACAGTTTGTTGTAAAATGCTGGCTCACATAGGCTTGTAATTCCTGTTAAAGTCTTCCAAAATCAATGCAAGGCACATTCTCAGTTTTTCCTATCTTCCTAATCAATCCACATCCAAGTATCGCTTTATCTGAGTGGCCCTAAGGGAGGGTTTATGTTCTCTAGACGAATAGTTACTACTCCCCACCAAGGGACAGCCGTCCCTGCCACTTCGCGCCTCGACTTCCGCGGCTTCACTTTATGGCAGTTTTTTCAAATATATTCATTAAAAAGTTGATCAAGACAGTGAAAATGATACAGTGTGCGCTCGGTTGTCTGAGTCAGTTATACACTCCTGTATTACAATTACAATTAATATTACTGTACGTATGGACGGTAGGCTATGTGTTCGAGCACCCCAGGAACCCTTCAACGCCAGGTGCACCCGCTAGAGTCTGGAACGATTAGCCGCGATAAACGAGGGACGACTATATGGGGTACCTCAGGGCAACAGGTCTTCCTGATTATTAAAAACAAAGAAAACAGAAGCAATCACAAGTCCTGAGCTTTGAAAAGACTTCCAATTCAGACAGATCTGTCCACAAAAACAGCCTTTTTTAAACGAGAAAATAATTATCACATCTAACTCCAAGTTCTCTCCATTTACCCAACATTTCAAACCATGTCATTAGTTCTCCAACAAAGCAATGCTAAGTTTTCCTCATTTATCTGACTCAAATGGCCCAATCAAAGCCCTTGTGGCTGCAGACCTCTAGGATGTAAGCCCCTTAATTAAGAGAATCAACCACCCATGAGTGTGTGCAATGAAGAAGGTCATCGGTACCTACTCTGCAACAAGAATTTATGTATTACAGCACCCCTCGTGTGCACTGAGATATCTGGAAAACCCACAAAGAACTAATCACCAAAAGTATGTTTAATAAACACAAAGTCAGCTCAAAGAGCTCCAGAAGCGTTTAGGAAATAGCAAGTGACCGTAAGTTACTTCTCAGTTTACAGATGGTCCCCACAGTCAAATGAGGAAACCGGAACAGCTGATCTCTGCAGTCCTGTCCAGCTCTAACGTTCAGCACCTCTGACACTCACAGGCTAGTAAGCACACAGCAGGGAACAGAAAACCACCATGAGTAACAGGAACAGCCTGCACTATCAGAGAGAGTAAAAACAATTCAGGAAACAAAGAAAGGCTAAAAGTCTCCAAAGGAACTCAGAAAGGGGCAAGAGATGTTCTGTACTTGGATAGAGCTTCTTTGAAGATATGTAACTTGAGTCGGATCCTGAAAAGTGGAGAAGATGTGGATACAGAGGGAGAGCCCTCCAGATAAAAATAATGACATAAATAAGCCCGGCAAAGGAAAAATGAGCACAAATGTAGGATCAGTTTTGTATCCTAAATAACTGGTGCTATTTATTCTAAGTCTCATTTATGATAATAGGCTAAACTGCCAATTTAGTTCATTTACATTTTTTTACATTTTTATTGACAGAGAGCTGATGATTTGTCATGCTGTATACAAGTAGCTTTTTCCTTCATAACTAAATATATCTTAATGTGCATGTGTCACTGATTATTAAAGTGTGATGGCTTACTGTTTACCATTTGGATGCAATCCTGCTGTCTTAAGTGCTGGCTGCAATATTCTCCTCCTTCTACCAAGACCAGCGACCTTTTCAATGATTAATGGTGTTCCTTACATATCATCAAGAGCAATGGCATAACCAAAAGAAAGGACTTAAAACAGACTTCAGCTTGCTCACTTTTTTTATAAATGATGATCTTATAATAACATACTACATAAAGAAACATCTCTAAATTTTAAAATGCAGGATTTTATCTCAAATAATATATTTTTTAACTTTAACAATATATTTGAAATTAAAATAAAAGCACATCAGATTGTCCTGGCCGGTTTGGCTCAGAGGTTAGAGCATCGGCCCTTGAACCAAAGTCGAGGGTTTGATTCCAGTCAAGGGCAGGTACCTCGGTTACAGTTCCGTCCCTGATCTTGGTTGGGGTCATGCAGGAGGCAGCCAGTCAATGTGTCTCTCACACATCGATGTTTCTCTCTCCCCCACCCCACTCTGTCTGAAAATAAAATTAAAATAAAGCTCATCAGACCAAGACATAAAATTATGCAAGTCTCCTTTACTGATGATTACGAAGTATGGCACCCAAAGTATTTGAATAAATGGAACCACCACTCTTGAGCTTATTAAACACGGGCTTTTGATGTGGGAGAGCATACTGTTCATGTAAATGGGGAAATTTTCAATTCACTGGTAGACTTTTGTTTAAATACGATGGAAAAGTGTGCACTCACCCTGCGTTGTTGCTGACCGCAGTGAGCCCTTTGACTCCAGTCTTCAGTAAAGCCCCAATCAGGTTCTCTGGAATTCCACATAACCCAAAACCTGTAAGAAGCCAAAAAGAGCAACAGTTTGTGAAGAGTCATACTATGTCACAGAAATGTGTGTTATTCTCTTTTAATAAAAAAAAAGAAAATAGTCCAGCTACTGTGGCTCAGTGGTTGAGCGTCGACCCATGCACCAAGAGGTCGCCGGTTCAATTCCCAGTCAGGGCACAAGCCCAGGTTATGGGCCTAATCCCCAGTGGGGGGCATGCAGGAGGTGGCCAATCAAAGTTCTTGCTCATCGATGTTTCTATGTCTCTCTCCCTCTCCCTTCCTCTCTCTCTAAAATCAATAAAGAAAAATTATTTTAAAAAAAGAAATATATAAAGTACATAATTAGACCTACTATGCAAAATGCACAGATTACATCTCAGCAACTCAATAAATGGACATAAAGCTATATCCCAATGTCTGACACCAATACAGCACCAGACATCACTGTCCAGGCCTTCAGTCGTGAGTATAGAAGCCAAGTGCAGTGTGTTAACACGGCTACACATTGCTCTTCTTGCACTTAATTACGTATCGACTGCTGTCCCACCCTATCCTTTAACCCTATAAAGTCACTTTTTCAAGCATGTTTGTTTTATTTATTTTTTAAATATTTTTTCTTTATTGATTTTAGAGAGAGAGGAAGGGAGAGGGAGAGAGAGATAGAAACATCAGTGAGAGAGAATATCAACTGGCCACCTCCTGCATGCTCCCCACTGGGGATCGAGCCCACAACCTGGGCATGTGCCCTGACCAGGAATTAAACTGGCAACCACTTGGCGCATGGGTCAACGCTCAACCACTGAGCCACACCGGCCAGGCAAGCATTTTTGTTTTATATGTCTCAGTAGATTCTGCAGAATTGGAAGTCTAGGACAATGACTTATTTCCTTACATTTTCCACAATTCCTCAGATAGTATTTGGTTTTAAATGGACACTCAATGACTGATCAGTGGAAGGAAGAAAGGAAAAAAGGAAGGCAGGGAGAGAGGACAACCCTAAAAATAAGCCTTGATTCCTGTAGCCAAGGCCTAGAAACCCAAAACAATGTATAAGAACCAGGCAGCAAGTTTGAGGAGTGAGAGACAGTATTTCTAAAAGACATTCCAAACAAAAGAAGCAACAGAACTCAATTACAGTTAGATGGTTGTGTGCTCTCTCGCTCATGAAATGAGGCAGAACAAAAGGAGTGGCCATGCCCTGGCCAGTTTGGCTCAACAGTAGAGCCTTGGCCTGAGGACCAATGAGTCTCAGGTTCGACTCTGACCAACGGCACGTACCTCGGTTGCAATTCGTCCCTGGCTCTGGTTGGGGTCGTGCGGGAGGCAACCAGTGGATGTGTCTCTCACGTTGATGTTTTCCTCTCTCATTCCGTTTCTCTCTCCCTTTCTCTCTCTCCCACTCTGTCTGAAGATAAACAGAAAAATATCCTTGGGTGAGGATTAAAAGAAAACATTTTTTTAAAAAAAGAGTGGCTAGATGTGGGCCAATGAGATCAATGCAAACGTTTTAAGTAAAATGGAATTCCCCACACTCTAGAAATTTTATTAAAGCTCCTGGTAAGACATCACTATTTGAAGCTTCAGCTTTTCAAAATAATTGTTAAAAAGAACCACAAAAGGAATGAAAAAGTAAAATTCTAAAGTTCTAAACCTTGCTAAACTTTCAGAAAGGGAACACTAATTAAATAATAGCTATGTAATATAAACTAAAAGAATGAACGGATGGCAACTAAGTAATAAGATATCGGGCATTTCTAATCTACAAAGCTTTGCTCCTGTGCCTTCCCTGCCTTGCTAAAGTCGAGGGCGTGGCCACACGCAGGAAACCCCCACTGCTCACCCCCAACCAGGATCTTCGCCCCGTCGGGGATATCTTTCACAGCTTCCACGGGATCCGTGTAAAATTTGGTACGGTGACGGGCGCTGGTGGAAAAGTAGTAAACACATCCCTACAACATCAAAAAACATTTTTAAGTGAACAATCATTTGCAGATTTGTCTCCACATGCACAGCAATGTATTTCATTTTTATACATACAAGGACAATTTCACTAGGTCCCCTTGGAAAGAGCGGGGCTGCAAGGAATTCGTCGTAAGCGTGGAATAGACATCCTCTGGCCACATTATCACCGGAGTCCCCTTGTGATCTGTGGCTTCTACTACGTAAGGGATGAGTCTGTGATATCTGTGGGCACCCAAAAGTAGGTGGCCCGTACACTAGCACTCAAATCCCCAATACAGGCATCATTAAGCATCGATTTCTGATAGTGACCTAACTTTCCATTCAATCAGCAAATACTGAGAACCTGCCACAGGCCCACTATGTGTAATTTCCTTCAGTCCAGTAGGTATTAAGACATGATTGCTGCTCTCGGGAAATTAAGTACAGCATGTCCCGTCCTGCCCTGATCCAACAATCCTGGGTACCGGAATGCCTCCTAAAGGAACAAGTGAAGAACAGCACACAAGATGACCGGTCCCCTGTGGGGCTTACGGTGGGCGTTCAAGCAGCAACCAGTTACGTACCTGCAAGGGAGGCGTGGCTACAGTTATTGTTACCTCATGAGCTTTCACAACAGGTTTTAAACTGTTTCCGTCTTTACATTTCATCCACCATATGGGCAGGAAAAATTACAAAGTCGACATGTCACAAGCAATCACTCATACTCAACATCTCTTTTTGGATATATATAAAAGCTCTCCTTTATTCTCGTCATTCGTTCAACCTAAAAGTAGGGAGTGGAGAGAATGACATCTGTCTCCTGATACGATGCCACCTGAACAAGTCCCTTGTCAGACAGACATCCCTGGGGTCAAAGTAACAGCATGAAAACATTTCTATCACTCTCTCCTTCCTCTAGAAACTTCTTTTAGAGCAAGTGTCAACCAGTACAAAAGCCTATTAGGAGCACTGTACTGAAAGTCGAATGAGATTTGTAGAGGTAGAGGTCGCACAGGTGACTTTTGTCCCTTTCAATTTCAACGGTGGTCAAGGTCAGGTAAGGAAGGTGTAGACCCTGGCACACTGCCCAACGCGGGCAAATCAGTGCAGGCAGAGATAGAAAGGGAAGCACTTTCTTCTCCTACTTATCTTCAAGGAGCAAGGAATTTTCTTATTGTTTTCAACACACGCATATATACAAACATATTTTTAATCTTGGCAGTTAAAAGTTTGGAGCCTGAATAAATAGGTCAACAGAGCACAAAATAGAGTTGAGGGTATCTTCTAGAAACAAGAGAAGACAAAAATACACAGGTATCTAATCCAACCACCTCAAGTTACAGGGGAGTTTCTGCCTCTTGGAAAGGTCTCGCGGCTGGCCCGGCGCAGACCAGACCCAGGGACGCGCCCTCCGCAGGCCCTTCCATCGCAACGGGCGCCTCTCTGTGTTCTTCACAAGGTCCTCGGCCTTCTTCTGCTTCTGTCTCACTATCTACACAGAACAAGTCTCTATGAGTGTCCACGTTCTCATGAAGGGGCTGCCGTCCAACTCCAGGTGAGGGTGGGGGTGAGGAGTGAGGGCCTTCGCAGGACGGGTGGAGGGATAGGAAAGGATCCACCTAGGGGGCGATGTGGCCCTGAACTGCTCGTCCACAGACTGGAACACCAGGCCGGTGGAGAGGCAGCCGGGAGAAGCACTCATTCTCCTGCAGACCCGGGAGCTTGTCGGAGCAGGACGAGCAAAGGCGCACAGCACAGGCCGGGCAGGGGCTGCGTGCCCCTCTCAGCCATGATCCGCTTCCTCCTCAGTCAGAAACCTCTGAGGAGCTCTTGGAAGTGCTCTGGGAAAGCCCCAAGAGTTTCACTTTTGCCCAAACCAAAAGTTTCAAAGCAATAAAAGCGACTCTTGTTTCCAGGGAATAAGGGAAGAGCTCAAGATAATGAAGAACGTACAGGCACTTGAATGTGGGGATTTTCATACATTCAGTGGAGAGTATTTGTTGACATTTGTTATCTATGTGTTGTGTTGACATTTGATATCTGTTGGTTGAAAAACCAATGGTGTGGCAAAATGGGCCACATTCCCTGCCTCCAGAGGCCACAGATATGTATTGCCAACACTTTCTAAGATTAGACAGGGAGGCAGGGAGCGTGTCCCTAATACGTCTACCTTTCCCCTTGGATAACTGAATTCCAAGAGGAGCTCTAAGCTGCTCTCAAATTGACCTCTACTTTCTGATATATTTTAAATACCAAACAGTGATAGGCAAAGACCCAGGCACCATCGGCTGAATAAATAAATAACCTTCAAGTCTGCAGAAGTTACCTAAAAGAATGAAGAGTAAAGCCTTGTGCAGCTTTGATATCTATTTACTCTGGAATAATTTGTTTTTCGCCGAGGTCTTCCTTGACGTTCACATATGTATTTCGTTTTGTTTTTCCACTCTCCTGCCTTCGGCCAATTTCCATTTTATTATTACCACTATTTCTGCTGTCACTACTAAGGGAGCCACATAACAATGATTCAGTACTGAAGTATAAGAAACAATCAAAACTCTTATAGTGCAACATTTTTTTTCTATTTAATCTCTCTCTCCTTTTAAAATCCTCTCCACAAATTATCTCCAAAAACCCTTTGTCCTCTACTTCAAATTCTTCTGCAAGCACAGTTGAGCCTAAATGTTCTCACATGACTTACCAGTCCAGGATCTATCTCCTTTCTCTCTAACCACTTCTACCATCATTTCTTGCACCTAATTTCTCTTTTTTCTTTCATTCAATACTCCAGACCTTAATGAAAATGCACTTTACTCTGAAGTTCTTTCAGAGAAAATCCAACGAGCATACTGCTCTTTCACTTTAAAATAAATGTTATCTTCATGACATGGAACTGTACACCCAGCTGATATTTACCTTGTCCCCTTACAGATAAATAAATCAGGGCATAGGAAGATTGATACTGCCCCCTTCAGTATTACAGTGTGATATGGAGAGAGGCGAGCAGAGCTGATTAAAAGGAACAGGCAGTGACATGCGGGCACACTCACACACCTGCAAGGACACTTGAGTATGGTCAGTGCCCAGAAGAGGTGCTAATGTGTGTTGAGATGCTTTGGCGGAGTAGGGGAGGAAAATAATTTTCCTTCTACCCTTTCGAGTTCTTCTGACTGGTCTGATCATCAAACTGACATGAGACAGAAATACAGGAGAACATGACCACATGTATCATGTACATATAGGGGTTCCACTAGAATTTAGGATCCAAGAGCCCTGGCCGGTTTGGCTCAGCGGTTAGAGCGCCCGCCTGCGGTCCGGAGAGACCCGGGTTCGGTTCCCGCTAAGGGCATGTACCTTGGTTGCAGTTTGTCCCCGGCCCTGGTTGGTCGTGCGGGTGGCAGCCACTCGATGTGTCCCTTTCACATCGATGTTTTCCTCTCTCTCTCTTCCTCTCTCTCCCTCCCACTCTGTCTGTACAAAAAATGGAAAAATGTCCTCGGGTGAGGATAAAAAAAAAAAAAAAAAAAAAAAAAAAAAGAATTTATGATCCAAGGAAAAAATGGGGAGTCGAGGCTCACATGCTACCTTGAGCTAAAGCAAAGGGGTGTGAGGAGTGGTTGTGACTTGGGACTTCAAAGGGCAGGAAGGCAATCCATGTGGAGATGGAAAAGTAGGTGTTTGGTAAATAATTGTTTACTGGGCCATCTTTAAACAATGAGACCCACAGAGGACTCTGACCAAACAGGTCTAGTCAGGTTCCCGCTATCACACACAAGCTCACATTATAGTTCTCTGTGATGGTAGCTCCCTCCCTTGAGCAGGTCCTTATCAAGTCTTTCAAGCAGTTAGGGGGAAGGTCAAAGGTTTTTCCTGAGTCCTTTCTTGAAAATAACCAGCTTAAAATAATCAATATCCCAAAAAGACATATTTGGGGTACAAACTCTGCTCCCTTCCCCAGCTGTCCAGCATGGACCAGTGTACCTAAGGGGGCATGTTCATTTTAAACTAAACACTACCAATTACACACTTATGACACGAATAAATCACAAGGCGCTCACAGGGAGTTACTGACGCCAGGCAATTCTCCCTCAAAGCGGCATACTTTGTTTTCCAGGGGACATCCATGCTGGTGCGATGCTCAACACTCTGAAGGAGCACAGATGGAGTGATGCTTTCTGCCTGGTGCATCGCAAAGCCTGAGGGGCTCTCCAGGAGCTAAATCACTGATGAGGGCAGGAATCCAGGAAGGAGCAGCTGCCTGAGTAAAGATGCCAAGAGGTGGAAGGTTCAGTGCATCCAGGGATGTGCAAGATCAGGTCCCATGGAGACAGACAGGCTGAGAGGGAGACAGAGGCAGGTTGCACAAGGCCTTAAAGACCACATTAAAGAGTTTCAGCCCGGCCACTGTGGCTCAGCCAGCGGTTGAGCATCAACCCATGCACCAAGAGGTCCATTCCCGGTCAGGGCAAATGCCCAGGTTGTGGGCCAAATCCCCAGTGGGGGTCATGCAGGAGGCAGCCAATCGATGTTCTCTCTCATCGATGTTTCTATATCTCTCTCCCTCTCCCTTCCTCTCTGTCTCTAACATCAATAAAGAAAATAAATAAATAAATAAATAAATAAAAGTTTCAACTTCATCCCTCAATGAGGAAAGAACAGCAAAGCTTTTAAAACAGAGAAATGTCACAATTCTCATATGAAAACCTACATCAGGAAAGTGGCAGGGAAACTCATTGTCTCATTCATCTATCCATTTGTTCAAAAATACCTATTTTGTTTTATTTTTTAAATCCTCATCCGATTTCTCCATTTATTTTTAGACAAAGTGGGAGGGGGAGAGAGAGAGAGAGCAAGAGAAACATCGATGTGAGAGAGACACATCAACTGGTTGCCTCCTGCGTGACCCCGACCAGGGCCCGGGGCTGAACCACAACCAAGGTACGTGCCCTTGACCGGAATCGAACCTGTGACTCTTTGGTCCAAGGGCCAACGCTGAGCCAAACTGGCCAGGACCAAAAATATCTATTTTGTATCAAATATAGTAAATACTGGGGATAGTGTTAAAAAACAAACAAACCACCATACAAGCATAGTCCCTGCTCTGATGAATCTTACACACTAGCAAGGCTAATAATCGCGAAATAATTACAAAATCATTACACATGACACAAGTGATCAACCAGAGGGAGAGAGAGGAGAAGCGAGAATGTGTTCAAGCTCACACCCTGGAAGGATACTGGTCTGTTAACCATAACGAAAACAAAACAAAGCAAGGCAAGGGGAAAAGCCACATTATGGCTGGTTCCTTCTGAGGCAGAAAGAGCTTGAAGTACTGAGTGACAGCCAGGTGGAGTCGGCCAGTAAGTTACACTAGGACTGCAGCTCAGAGTCTGCGGTTCAAGAAAGGTCTGGGAGCCCTGGCCGGTTTGGCTCAGCGGTTAGAGCGTCGGCCTGCGGTCCGGAGAGACCCGGGTTCGGTTCCCGCTATGGGCACTTACTTCGGTTGCAGTTTGTCCCCGGCCCTGGTTGGTCGTGCGGGTGGCAGCCACTCGATGTGTCCCTTCACGTCGATGTTTCTCTCACTCTCTCTCTCTTCCTCTCTCTCCCTCCCACTCTATCTGTACAAAAAATGGAAAAATATCCTCGGGTGGGGATTAAAAAAAAAAAAAAAAAGGTCTGGGAAAAGGTGGTTGCAAGGAAGAGAGCTAGCTAAAGTGTTAACAGCAATGTTATTTTTCCCCCAGTACTTTCTATAATTAATAGAAAACAGTACTAAATACTCTAGCTGAAAGAGTAATGGAGGAAGATACTTTCGGATACTATTCTAATCGAAGCCCATGCCAGTAGTTCTGAAAGCGCAGTCCTCAGACCAGCAGCCTTAAACTATGGGGCCCCACCCAGGACCAATTAAATCATAAACCCTGGGGGTGGAGGACTGTTTGATAAAGCCTCCAGGTAATTCTGGTGCACGTACAAGTTTGAGACACTTGCCTATTATAAAACAAAAAACAAAAAAACAGCCTGACTGATATGGCTCAGTTGGTTGAACGTCATCCCACGCACCCGGAAGTCACCAGTTGGATTCCTGGTCAGGGCACATGCCCAGCTTTTGGGCTCAATTCCCAGTAGGGGGCATGCAGGAGGCAGCTGATCAATGGCTGTTCCTCCCTCATTGATGTTTCTATCTCTCTCTCCCTCTCCCTGCCTCTCTCTAAAATCAATATAAACATTTATTTTAAACTCCACTATTTTGTTTTATCTGTTGCTTATGTTTAGCAGAAAAATTCTCAAGGTTGCTACTTAACTTTGCTCACAGGGTTTTCTTATCAATGTAGTAAGTGTGTGTTGAGTATCTAGTCTAGGCAGGGCAGTGTGTAACGCTGAGAGAGACGGGGAATAAGGCATACAACATGGTCCTTGCCAAAAAGAACTTTGCATCTGGATAAGATGAAATATACATCTGAAATTAAACAAGTACACCGTGTTATAATTTAACTGAAGTAGGAGGTAAGGATTTAAGCAGTGAGGACACTCACTAAAGGCCAAGCACTGGAGGAACCCTGGAACGCAGGATCTAGGGTATGATCAACAAACCCCGAATGTGAGAGTTTGAATCGTGATGGGAACTTTCAATGACGTTCAGCAGAACCCATAATTTGTAGCTAGGCCATCTAAGAAGTTTCCTGGGCTTGGGAATGGTTTAATGATATACCTAAAAGTGAGAAAATGAGTAAATTGCCCTTAGGTAAATAAGTAACATCCCAAAGAGGGAATGTTACTGACCTTGGCCCAAGGGTATCTCCCTATAGTGGTTTGGACTAGTAGCAGCACCCGCACCACGCTGACTGAAGGTCAAGTTCCTTTCATAATGCTTTGCACGTCCCAAACTATCTGCAATGATCCAAATGTTTCCTAAGAAGCATTTAGGAGTGAAACGTTCCTGTCCTAAATCATCCCCTAGCACCTAACTAAAGGGCCCCTCTGCAACTACTGTTCTCAGGCACTGGATGACGGCAAGAGAAGGGGGCGGGCGGGGATCTCACCGAGCACCGAGTGCGAGACGCCTTTCAGGCTCAGAAGTGCTGTTCGATGTGCTACGAAGGAGGAACATCACTTTTCGTTTTCCCTCCCTAAAAGAGGTTCCTGCGGTCACAGGTCGAGAAGGTAAGTCACCCTCCTGGACCCAGCGCTGAGGACCAGTCTCGCCTCGGAGGACTCGGGACAGCAACGCCACCTGAACCGAGACTGGGGTGGGGGGTGGGGGGAAACAGTGCTCGGGCGAAAACCAACCATCACCGGGACACCGTCGGCGGAGAGCTGGCAGTAACCCTGGAACAAGGATCCCCAAGGGCTCCGCAGACTGAAATCCGCTCACCGAACCCCTTGGGGCATCGGGAGAAGGCGGCCCGCGCCAGCAGAGCGCGAGCGAGCCGAGGCCAGACCTGCACCGACTCCGCTCCGCAGGGAGGACGCCCGGGCAGGAGCTCCACTGCGGGGACCCTCCCGGCGCGGGCCGCACGGCCGTGGAGCGGAGGGGAGTGGGGCTCGGCATCGCGCCCCGCCGCGCCCAGCACCCGCCCCCCTGGCGGGGAGTCGCTCGGAGCCGTGGCCACGTCGGCCCTGGGTTCTGGGCCCCGGGATCCCCAGTCCTCGGCGGTGGCCGCCGCCCCCGGAACCCCGCGCGCGCTCCACGCGCTCCCGGCCTCCGGCGCCCCACCCGGCGGCCCGCGGATGCAGAGCCGAGCGCCGCGGGGCCCGGCAGAGCGGCGAGGAGGCGCGGCGCGGCCCGGTGCCCGCCCCAGGCTCGAGGGCTGCAGCACGCGGCGTCGCCCGCAGTCCGCCGTCGTCCTCGCGCGCACTTTACCTTGGGCCGGGGTCCCCAGGAGCCGCGCGCGGAGGCGCAGAGCCGCGGCCAGGAGCAGAGGAGTCTGACAGGTGCCATGTTGGGCCGGAGGCGGCGGGCGGCGGCGGGAGCGTCCCGGGGAAGGAAGAGAAGGAGGCGCGGGGAGGGCTGGAGGCTCGGCCGCACGTTTGTGACGTCCGGGTCCTCCCGAGCTGCGCGCCTCGCCCCCTGCGGCCGGGAGGGGCCGGGCTCGCGCTTTTTCCGGGTACGTAGCTGTGTTGATGAGCATCTGCCAGCCTAGCCCCCTGGGCGCGGTTTACTCGGATGTGCGCGGTGTCCGCTTTCCCCAAGGTCAGGGTGAAGTCTGGGCCAGGATTCTGGCGGCGCAGGGCTGTCTCTTGTTGCCTTTCGAAGTCAGTTCCCCTGCCTGGACAGCATTTCATTTCATTTCTTCATTTCTCAGTCGCCTCTCCCCACACCTGGCTTGTGTAGTGAGTTTGCTCTGAGAACCTGTCATGAGCGATTTGCCATGAGATGTGACCAGGCAGGCCTGGTCAAGACTGTCCCTGGACTAGGGGGACAGGATTTGGACTGGGCCTCTGAGACCTGATCTTAGCCCTCCTGCTCCCCCTTCTTCCCCATCATCCACGTCTGCATTTTTCAGAATCTTTTGATACTAGAGTTCTGGAAACCCCAGAGATTTCTTAGCAGATGCCAACATACAGCTGTGGGTTCCTTTGACCTTAGTTTCTTAAATTTCCTAAACCAAATTAGAATTGCTTATTATACTCAAAACTGTCATTAAGGTTTACTTAAAATAACTCGGGTAAAGCTTCTGGCCCCATTAAAATACTCAATGAACAAATGGTAGGCTTTATTCTCCGTTTATTCAGGTTGCCATGTGGTGGATTGGCATGGCACACACATTCTCTCCAAGCTTTGTCTTTTAACCAACCCCTTGAGGACATGAGCCAAGTCTGATTTCTTCAGGAGCATCTATGCACCTAGAATGGAAGGACCAAGTGTAAACTCAATAAACGTTTTGTTTAAGGGCTGACCAAGTCCTAGGAATATGGCTCTTATTTTTGAACCAAAGCAAAGCAAACAAGATCATTAAATGAGACCTCAGGTTCCTTAGCAAGTAAACTAAGGTCATGACCAATCACAGTCAAGTTTAAAGTGTCCATGAAAGCACTTCCCTTTCATGGTATTCTTTTAACTCTGAACTGTTTTCCTCCTATGAATACTGTAATTTAAAGGAGCAGAATATCGAATTAGATTGTCCAATTACATAAAAAGAAATTAATTTAGTAATAGCCTCTATTTTCAACACATTTTAAGAAGTTGGATAGAGGGGAAATGCAGGTATTAGAACTAACATCCCATCACAAGACCTAACACAGCATATAACAGCCATTGTGGAGTTTACAGAATGTGGAAAAGCTAACATTCACAACTGGATCTGCCCTTCTGAGTTTGTCCTTCCAGAGGGCACATGGAATGGAAAATAGCATTGGCAACTTTGTCTGGCAGTGGTCATATGACTCGCTCTTCCTGGCTGGTCTGTTGCTCCTAGCTCAGAAAAAGACACACATTTTCAGTCTCATACTCTGTGCGACTCTACATCTCACGAAAAAAAAATCAGCCTCTTTACTCTATGGTCAAAACACACTGTGCTATTTTTTGATGACTTAATGAGTTCGTTTTGTACTTTTTAAGTAAAATATGAGTATCTTCAACTTAAACAAATTGCCAGAAAAGTTCTTCTGTACAAATTTCCCTTCTGGTTCCATAAAGCCATTTCTATTTTAATCTGTGTAAAAACCTACTTTTAAAAAATACTTGTATTTTTCTGAACTAGTAAGATAGTTCCTCCTTGCTTTGAAGGGTAATTTGTGGCTAATAAATCATATTCTAGAAATTTTTCTTTGTGTGATCTTGTAGAGCTTAACTTTCATATTCTTAAAAATTGGGAGAATTAGCCTGGCCAGTGCGGCTCAGTGGTTGAGCATCGACCGATGCACCACGAGGTCAACAGTTTGATTCCCGGGGAGGGTACATGCCCAGGTTGTGGGCCCAATTCCCAGTGCGGGGCATGCAGGAGGCAGCCAGTCCATGTTCTCTCATGGATGTTTCTGTCTCTTTCCCTCTCCCTTCCTCTCTCTCTAAAATGAATAAAGAAAAAAAAATTTTTTTTAATTCTCCTAAAATATGATGCATTAGTATCATCTCTCATTATTGAAAAATAGGACATGAAACAAAACTAAATAAATAGAACATCCTGCCTTCACAGTTGGAGTATTCCTCCAAACTGATATTGAGAGTTTTTGAAGATTTGTTTTTCAAATGCCGTTTGACTGGTTTAACTAGTTATAGGAGTTTTTAACTGGGTCATAAAAAGAGTTCTGTATGACTACATTTCATACAATGGTCCTTTAATATATGAAAAAAGAAATGTCTTCAGACAAATACGTTTTCTCTGGTGGATTTGAAAGACATAAATTTGACATTTTACATGTGTCTTTAAATTTAAGTATTGCTTAATAATGCAAAGCATCATTCCCTAATATACCTATTTTGTAAACATGTTATTTTCATAGATTTTTTGAAGCAGTGCCTTGTATGAAATAATATGTTCTTAATATTTGTTGAGTAGATAAAAAATAAATTTTAAGTATTGTTTTCTCAGAAAATAAAATAAAATAAATGCATGAGATAGCTGGATAAGTCTCAACTCTTAGAATGAACATGAAAATTATGTTAAGGTTCTAAGGAAACTTAAAGGAGCAAACACACCATAGTGATCTTGTACGCATTCGAGTCCTGTTACTTCCGCTGAAAACTCTCAGTGGTTGTCCTCATTGCCTTTAAGATCTAACGCCCACGCGTCCTCACTTGGCCCAGAAGATCATCTCTTCTGGTTTTCCTCTTCCCTGCACATCACCTTTATATTCCAAACTATATTTGCTTCCTGACTTTCACAGGATGAATTCACCCGACCTCAGGATCAAATGTTGGCAGCAAAATGGTCAAGAACATGGGCTCTGGAGCTAGGCTGCCTGGTTCAGCTCTCAGCTCTGCCTCTCCCTGGCTCCCTCGCAGTTCCGAGAGCTGCGGAGCGGCCAGTGGCAAGGTCGTGTCTGGTTCCTGGTCCACTTGGACTGCTCAGGTGTTCACAGATTATACCTTGTGTGTTCACTTATTTTGCCTTTTAGATTCCACATACGTAGAAATGAAATCATATGGTATTTGTCTTTGACTGACTTATTTCACTTAGCATAATATTCTCTAAGTCCATGCATGTTGTTGCAAATGGTAAGGCTTCCTTTTTTTTTTCTGGCCCAGTATATTCCATGGTATATATGTACTACATCTTCTTTATCCAATCTAAACAGCAATTGATTCATAGATACAGAGACAAAACTAATGGTTGCCAGATGGGAGAGGGGCTCAGGGGCTGGGTAAAAGAGGTGAAGGGATGAAGAGGTACAAATTGGCAGTTACAAAATAGTCGCGGGATGTAAAGTACAGCATGTGGAATATAATCAATAATATTGTAGTCGCTGTGTGTGGTGCCAGGTGGGTACTAGACTTATCAGGGGGATCATTTTGTAAATTATATTAATGTCCAGCCACTATGCTGTACACTTGAACCTCATATAATATTGAATGTCACGTGTAATTCAAAAAATTTTAAAGATTATACGTTGTGAACACATCTATTTCTGAGATGTTTCTATATTTTTATAGACTGGAAAACATCAGACACAGTAAACCTGGCCTCTGTAGTATTAAAGACTGATTTTATCTTTATACCTCCTCTTTGTGAGCGATCTTTGAATCTTACCCCAGCTCCCCAGTTCCACTCATTCTGCCCTGATGCAGGACTCAGTTTCTGTTTCTCTCATTGGGATGATTGTAGTTGCTTCCTAAAATAAAACTTCCTTTCTCCCTCAAAATTAACCTTTACTTTTATTTATTTATTTATTTATTTTTTATTTTTTTAATCTTCACCCTAGGATATTTTTACATTAATCTTCAGATAGAGCTGGAGGGAGAGAGGGAGGAAGAGAGAAAAAGAAAGAAAAATCCACGTGAGAGAGAGACATCGATTGCTAGCCACCGACACAACCGCAACCGGGGCCAGGGATGAACCACAACCAAGGTACATGCTCTCAACCGGAATTGAACCTAGGACTCTTTGGTCCGTGGGCAACGCTCTTACCGCTGAGCCAAACCAGCCAGGGCATTAACCATTTTTTAAAGTATCATTTCAAATACAGATCTGGTCTTCTTTTTAATTTTTTATTTATTGATTGATTTGAGAGAGAGAGAGACATCAATTTGTTGTTCCACTTATTTATGTATTCATTGGTTTACTCTTGTATGTGCCCTGACTGGGGATCAAACCCACAACCTTGGCGCATAAGGAAAACACTCCAACCAACTGAGCTACCCGGCCAGGGCCAGATCTGGTCTTCTCATATGCTTGCCTAAAACTTTTCAAGGAATCTCACAGCCTGCAAGTCAAAGTCCAGCATCTGATTATAGCCAAGAGCTTTCTAACCCAGGCTCAGCAAACCATTTAACCTTAAGGGCTCTGCAGAAGTACTTCAGGGGTTCCACAAATACTATGTTTTGAAATGAAATTTGAAGTTATATTTTAACTGTTGTGTCAACTCTAACAAAGCAGTAGCATGTACACTCAATTGTGGTGTATCTCTGATTTTAACATATTAAAGATTACCACATGATGCAAACTAGGAGGCCAACTTCAGAATAATGTATGACAAAGATGGTCTTATTAATTGGTAGAAAAAAGATAAACTAGTCCCTAAGTTGGGGTTAGCACAATTTGCTGTAAATTAAAAAAAAAAAAATAGATCTTTGCCCTGGTCAGTTTGGCTCAGCAGTTAGAGCATCAGCCCTTGGACTAATGAGTTGCGGGTTCGATTCCGGTCAAGGGCACTTACATTGGTTGTGGTTTACCCCTGCCCCTGATCGGGGTTGTGTGAGAGGCAACCAGTCGATGTTTCTCCCTCCCTCCCTTTCACTCTATCTGAAGATAATAGAAAGATATCCTCGAGTGAGGATTAAAAAAAAATAGATCTTTATATCTCAGGACAGATATACAGTAAAAGAC